CTCCAGGACGATTTAGAATATCCGGTATACATGGCAATTACTCGCATATATACGATTCGTTTATGATTTGATAACGAAAAATGTTATGTTCATATTGGAAATATAAAACCATGAAAATGTCTCACATTGGACAGAACCCAGGGAATTTCCGTGTAGATCTGGTGTGACTTATGGAATTGAGATCATTTCTCGATTATTTGCAGGGTGGTTGGTTTGAACCGGTAAAAAATTGAGAGCCAAATGAACAACAAAATTGATGACAGCAAAATAATCCGGGACGGAAGGTTACAATGAATTCCACAATTTTTGTGACAGCACATCTGTCCCTTCGCGATTTTAGCGACATCATTAAATGTTTCCGCGATTTTTGCGGCTGAAAGTTCAAATCCGCGAAAATCGCGAAATCCGCGCCTGTTGTAACAGCCCTGAAAATGGAAGAAATTTGAAACGCCGAGCATGAAAATTTAAATAGCTAACTGAGATGAAGATAGCGTCATGATTTTGGGAAAAATATGAGATTCTGAGAAAAAATATGGCGGACTTCGAAAAATGTGATGCTCCTAGTGTCTACATTTTAAAAGGACGTAATTGGTTTTGTAAACAATGGTTTTAGCCATCGATTTCTCTCGAATAAAAACTTAGACACGAAAATTAATTACACCAACAGGTAGATGGATGTTTCCTCTACCACCTAGCATTGTTAATTTGGGGGGGGGGGGAGGGGGTACGCTTTTATCTGGGAGAAATGAACGGCTATAGCCATTGTATACAAAAGCAATTACCCCCCTTTGAAATGTTAGCACTGAATTAATAAAGCCAAAAATCCAAGTGACAAATACAGCAGTGCTGCGCTTGAGCGAAGGTCGAAGCAAAGCATAGAAAAATCAGCATATACACAAACCTTTTTTCTGAGGTTGGAATCTTATCTTTCAAATTTGTTTGGAGTGTTTAACTTTGAACGGCAGATGACGCTATTATCACAGAGGTAACTCTAAGACTAGAAGGTCCCGAAAAAACGTGCTCAACTTTTTGGCTCAGCTCTGGTACTCTCTTCGGTCCCAAGCTAATCGACGCGCCCCTCGAAATATATAAAAATCCACGAACCCCTCATTTCATCTGTCAAACTTTCATAGCAAATCAAAACAAACATAGTGTAGTACTAGAATTATGACTGGAATGGGGTACGTTAATCGATTTGCTTGGGACCAATAGGCTAGTCAAGTAGTGAGCCAATTTAAAATCGTTAGTTTCCACCGGTTGCTATTATGCCTATCTCATACCGGTTGTAAGAGAGAATGGGACTGTTGCCAGTCTTCTTGATATGTTGTCTCCGCTAAAATGCTAAATTTTATTATGTTCCTGTAGTATTGTTCACGTTCACCTCTCATATTTACTATGTTGTAAGGTGGATGTAATACTGAACTAAAAATAAATGTCCGGATTAATTGACCGTTCGGCATTCGTTGCACTCAGGTAACTAATTTCATAAAACCATTGCGCAGTGTTGGGATTCAGACAAAATTTCAGTTTAGATATACAGGCCGGACTCGATTATCCGGAGGCTCGATTAACCGGAGGCTCGATTATCCGGGGCTCGATTATCCGGAGAAAATGGCTCGATTATCCGGAGTCATATATTTTTTTCCCTATCTTGCAAATTATTTTTCATAAACCGCTTGGAAAACCGACTTTCGATCCGAGGACGAGTAACATACATTATTCGACTCAGTCTGACAAGATCGGGAAATGACTATATTTAAGTGTTTGTGTGCCTTTGTTACAAAATCCGGCGTTAAAGGGTTTTCGATTAACTTTGAACTGAAAGGAATCAAACATATCATGTGCCACAACAACATACAGAAACTGAATCCCATGATGGTCCGTTCACTAATTACATCACGTTTCAGGGGGGCGGGGAATAGCAACCAAAATTTTTGAAGATCCGTAAAAAAAAATGTACCAAAGGGTCTTTAACCCTCCGTTACTCGTGCTGTTGTACTTTGCACAACACACATGAGTTTTCCATTGCCATTTTGTTGCTGAGTTACCAATCGATCTGAAACCAACGAGTATTCCTCAAAAAACTTGTTTTGATCTAAACAAGCTGAACTTTGATTACAGTAAACACCTAAAACATTCGGATAATAGGGATAATGTTAATGGAAACCGCGAAAACTGTGACCATACTACGTGGGATTTGACTTAATTGATTACAACATGGAATATATCAAGATTCTGACAAGATAGAAAGTTACTGTCTCTGACAAAGTTGTTCATGAGATCATAGCCTTGTCGCTGCCGGACAGTAGTTCAGAATTTTCTCACTACGTAGCGCTAGTATACATGTCGCATGTGATATATCTCGAGATCCTGACCAGATAAAAAGTTACTGTCTTTCACAAAGTTTTTCAGGAGATCAAAGCCTATTCAGAATTTGCTCACTACGCGACGCTAGTATACACGTGAAATTCTCATATAAAATATCTCGGGTTCCAAACCATATAGAAAGGTACTGTCTTCGGCATAGTTGTTCAGGATGTCAAGGCTTTTTCGCAGGTGGACAGTAGTTCAGAGTTTTCTCACTTTGCGCCGCTACTATAGATGTGAAACTCTTGCATATAAAATATCTCTAGATCCTGACCAGATAGAAAGTAAATGTATTCGGCAAAGTTTTTCAGGAAGTCAAGATCTTTTTGTTGGGTGACAATAGTTTAGAATTTTCTCACTATGCGGTGCTAGTATATACGTGCCTTTCTCCCATATTCAATAGCTTGAGATCTTGATCAGCTAGAAAGCTGCTGTCTTCGGCAAAGTTGTTTAGGGGGTCAGTAGTTAATAATTTTCTCACCACGCGGCGTTAGTATACATGTACACTTCTCGCATATGCTATATCTCGAGATCCTGATCAGATAGAAAGTTGTTCAGGAGGTCAAGGTCTTTTGGCTGGTGGACAGTAGTACAGAATTTTCTCACTTCATGATGCTAGTATACATGTGAAATTCTCGCATATAAAATATCTCACGTTCTTGACCAGATAGAAAGTTACTGTCTTGAACAAAGTTGTTCAGGAGTTCAAAGCCTAGAGCCTTGAAAATTCTAAACTATTGTTCACCAGCCAAAAGACTATGACCTCCTGAATAACTTTGTTGTAGACAGTAACTTTCTATCTGATTAGGATTTCGAGGTATAGCATATGCAAGAAGTGTACATCTATGCCACGTGGTGAGAAAATTCTTAACTACTGTTTACCAGCCAAAAATGCTTTGACCTCCTGAACAACTTTGTCGAAGACAGTAATTTTCTCGTGTTATAAAAGTTGGCGGCGTTGGCGCGAGTAACGGAGGGTTAAGAACAGCATTGACTATGTCAGCATCAGACATGACATCGAATTCCGCATTCTCGTCTTCATTTTCGCCTGCAGCCGTTTTATCAGCAACCATCAGTTGAATTGTTACACTATCATCCCTAGAGCACCGGAACTAATATTTGCAATGTTAACATTTCAAGAATATTAATGGAAAATGGTCGAAATTGATCGAGTGCGTCAAGTTAGGAACCACGTCAAATATGGTGCCTTCACGCCGTGATTTTTAGCCAAGCTCAACTTTGTCTCTACACACTCGTGAGAGTCGTGAGATTACAATTTTTCTCAAGTTGAGGGGTCCTATGGCGTGGTTGGCTACACGTTCGCTTCTCAAGCGGATGGTCCATGGGTTCAATTCCATTGATCTTCTTATCGAATTTTGATGTATTTTAATGTGCCTCATGATTGGTTATTATCCAAGTCCGATTCTGGTCACTTCCAGGGTCACCTGGAACTTGTCCGGAAGTGGCCAATATGGTCCAAGGTACTTAATTTTTTTCCACCATTGATCTGGTTATCGAATTTTGATATAATCTGATGTGTCGCATGATATGTTATTATTCAAGTCTGGTTCTGGCCACTTTTCCGGAGGCACCCGGAACTTGCCCGGAATTGTCAATATGGTCCAAGGTACTTAATGTTTGCCACCATTGATCTTGATATCAAATTTTGATTTAATTTGATGTGTCGCTTAATGGGTGTTGTTCCTTTCAAGTCAAATTTAGCCTCATGGCCCATAAACGCCGGAACTTGTTCCGGCCATATTTTCGAAACCAGTGGTCCGATTCAATAATCCTTCAATAGCGTTCAATGGGACCACTAAAAACATTAAATGAGACCACATGAGACCAAAAAAAAATTTTTTTTTTAATGGCTCGATTATCCGGAGGGCTCGATTATCCGGAGTGAAATTTTTTTCAAGACTCCGGATAATCGAGTCTGCCCTGTAGTAGAACTAGAAATGACTTAAGGATTTTCGGATATGAAAATAAGAAGACGATTGCTTAACTTTTGATTCTCGTCTATATTTTTTCCATCCAGATTATTTTTTTCGAGAAAGTTTTGATAAATTTTGAGTTTGCACAGTTTTACATTCAATAATATGTATGTTTTATTCAGAGTTTTACATGCTTCCAACTACATTTTATTGGTTCAGACCGAAATTCCCAACTTCCTATGCTTTGTTTTCAATTTTAAGTAATGTTTGCGAGAGGTAATATCCGTATCCTATTAGAATTTATAAATAGTCTTCTCAACTGACCTGCTGACATTGCTCAATCCTAAACGACCTTACTGCAGTCAACAAATACTCCTACTTACCATTTCAAAAATGTGTCAATAAAATTGAATCACTTTTACAACTTAATACAGTTAAATAGCACTCTTCACACACAGCTTTTTGTGTGTGTGCATAAGCAACGAAAACAAAAAAAAACGAAGATCTTTCTCAGAACAAAGAACAATCCTACTCTGTTTGCTTGCTCGATGCACTTTCCTGAAAGCATGGTTGTTCTTTTCTCGCTGCTTTTTATTGACTTTCCCAAAAGCCCTCTCTGTATACCGAGTCCCTTCGCCTCCGCCGTGAGCGAGGGTACACGGTATTTTCCTCTTCTCTATGATGGCTGCTCCAGCTAGCTTTTTGTGTGTGTGTCCTGCTCTATGCTTGCCCCGTGAACGAACGATGTTTACTTGGCTAGTGGTCCCCTCCCGGAGGGAAACACTGCAGGACTGAGTCACAGTGCTGACGAAGACCTTTTCGAAGATCCTGTGCTGGCTGAGTGGTCTGGAGAAGCAGCGGTTACCATGAATTGAAAAGAAGAGACATTTTTCAAACGGACGGAAATATGAGGGCACAAATTAGGGGAGACGACTTTAGAACAAGATGCAGTTTGGTTACGTCAGGATGGTCCCATGCGTTTTTTTTTCATTGTAAATATAATGAAACGAATTGATTAACACAATGTAAGCCCTGCGAGGAAATATATCTCAACAAAAAATACATACATAATATTAACATCGTATGCCAATTTGACAACATTGTACCGGGACCAACCTTCATCGGAGAAAAAAAGCTGTTATGTATTGCTTTCAAAATGAATAATGACAGACATGGCCATAATGATGTGTCCATTCTGTCTTGTCTCGAATGGAAACACTGATGATGATGATGATGATAATGTTCTTCCCTCCCATGCACAGCAAGAACAGCGCACACTAAAAACACGATTAATAACTCCCACCATCAAACTCACCTTTCGAATCCATCAAACGTTGTCGTTTGGCTTCCGGAGCGCTACTGTACAAGCTGTTGAACCCGGGCGACGAACTTCGATCGCCGAATCCGGTGCTATTTTCCTGCTCCTCCAGGAACCGGTCCATGTGGTCCGTCAGCCCCGGATGGAGGTTGTACTTTTTCTTCTCTAGTCGTGCCTTGTTGGCAAAAAGGTCATGTCGTTCGGTTTTCTTCCACAGGTAGTAGAACTGAACCAGCTCGCCGACCGATCGCGTGCGAACCTAAAAGTTGATTTGTTTACTTAGCAATAAACCAACTAAAAGATTAGAGAATAGTTTTTGACATCTGTTGTAGTAGATTGGAAGAATTCAAGAAATGGTCATGAACCATGCGCCTCCATTATACTGCGCTATGCTCGCGGCGACACACGGTTTCGAACAGAATGACTTTGATTAACTGCTAAATTTAATTTTACCTTCGATTGCTGAATCATGTGAAAGTCCTTCCCATGTATCCGGAGACCATTTTCAAAATTCCTACACTCCTCCTCGGACCAAATGCTCATGTGCTGTTCTGCCACCGGGACGGCATTTATCCGTTTTCTCCGCAGAGCTTCGTCTATATTGTGCCCACATTGCTGCAGCAGGTACAGTCCCTGCTCGTCATCCCGCAGGTGCCTTCCTAGGGGAATCGAAAAAACACTATTCGTCTGCGGTGTCCCCGTATTGCTACTCGCCGCAGCGGAAATCTTCTTCAGATACTCTTCGATGAGGTCCTCACCGAGCACCGTCGGATTCCACAGCAGTTTATCTTCGTTCTCGTAAGGCAGTGCATCGTCGTACCGGCAGAGACCCTCCGGTATCACTGCCTGGAAGTCACTACCCACCATAATGGTCTTTTTCACCTCCTCGTCCGGAATGTAGTCCCCATCTTCTTCGTCTTCGCTTTGCGCTTGTGCGTCTGCCGGAATGGAATGCAATTTATTTATTTTTTTCCAATCAAGAAAAGGTATGCAACTTACTTATGGGTGCAAACAGTTGCCGCAGTCCAGATTGTTCTTCAATTTCGTCTTCTTCATCCTCTTCGTCCTCCTCGTAGAAGCCACCTCCGGCCGAGGCCACCTGTGTGCTGGAATAGCTACGAGCTCCGTCCGTGGGATCTCCTCCGGTTCCGGCTTCATCGTCGTCCTCATCGTCTTCATCATCCTCTTCGTCCGGCGGTGCCCTTATCGGTATCGCTTGATCTGTTTGATTGGTTTGAGGCTGCTGTTGAGATTGCTGCTGCTGTTGTACTTCTTCTATAGGCATTTTTGTTGGAGTTGAGGTGCTGAAAGGAGAGTTTTAGATGGCGTGATGGTTAAAACTGAATTTGCACTGAATATGTTTGTTTTTAAATTTGTCGTTAAACAAAATGATCCTCGCGGATAAGGGCAAAAAATTGATAACTAATAGTTTCTGTCTTTTTTATTGCAGTGTTTGGACGACTGGTCGTTCGATGTGTTCGCCCTTGCCGACGCCGGCAACTGCCAACCGGTCAAGTACTTGGGTTACGACCTGCTGAACCGTTACGGAAGCATCCACAAGTTCAAGATTCCACCGGCCATGCTGGAAACGTTCCTATCGCGCATCGAGGAGGGCTACTGCCGCTTCCGCAATCCGTACCACAACAATCTACATGCCGCCGATGTCGCACAAACCGTACACCACATCCTCTGCCAGACGGGGATGATGCATTGGCTGACCGATCTGGAGATCTTCGCCACGCTTTTAGCGGCCTTAATTCACGACTACGAGCACACGGGGACGACCAACAACTTCCACGTGATGTCCGGATCGGATACAGCGATGCTGTACAACGATCGTGCCGTGTTAGAGAATCATCACATCAGTGCAGCGTTCCGGGTGCTGAAGGAGGACGACTGCAACGTGCTGCAGAATCTCTCGAAGGAAGAGTACCGCGAGCTGCGGTCACTGATAATTGACATGGTACTCGCGACCGATATGTCGTTCCACTTTCAGCAACTGAAGAACATGCGTAACCTGCTGACGCTGGCCGAGCCGCAGGTGGACAAGTCCAAGGCGCTCTCGCTGGTGCTGCATTGTTGTGATATTTCTCATCCGGCCAAACGCTGGGACATCCATCACAAGTGGACTATGCTACTGCTCGAGGAGTTCTTCCGGCAGGGCGATCTCGAGCAGGAACTCGGGCTCCCCTTTAGTCCGCTCTGCGATCGGAACAATACGCTGGTGGCGGAGTCACAGATCGGTTTTATCGAATTTATCGTCGAGCCCAGTATGGCTGTGTGTGCCGATATGTTAGAGATAATCTTAGCACCGATAGCACCAATCGCAATGAATAGTAGTAATAGCAAGAACAACAATAACAATAATACTAGCATTAAAGGAAACAATACTCTAAGTGTACCGAACAACAGCAACAACAACAACAACAACAACAACAACAACAACAGTAGCAGCCACAATAATACAAGTAATGAAGCAATAACCAATAACGGAGGCACTAGCGGAGGAGGTGGAGGAGCAGGAGGCGGAAGTAGTGGTGGTAATGCGGAGGCAGGTGCCGGTGACAAGCCGAAGCCGAAACCGGACGTTAAGAATGGCGCAAAACCGGATCGGTTCGAGATTAAGAAACCGTGGATCACCTGTCTGGCAGAGAACAAGAAGATTTGGAAGGAGCAGGCTCAGAGAGGTAAGTTCGTAGTACACATAGCCATAACACTAAAGAGCACTGGGAATTTAGGGTACAGCGGTTCTCAAACTGAGCGTTGATTATTGAGACCCACTTTCATAAAATCCGTAAGCACACTGTATGGGGTTGCCCGCATACAACGTAGACTGTAATTCTTAAAAAAAATCAGTATGGTTGAAAGATCCACGCAGAGGGAAAGGATCTGGAATCACTCAAAAATTGTCCACGTGGTTTGTGGATCAAAATTAAGCTAAAATGGCCTAAAAACACTGATAAAGTCTTCAAAGCTCATAATGGACGGACACCGCAAAATAGCTTCAAACAACAATATTGGTCGAAATCGCCAAATCAAGACTTCAAAAGCGCAAAAATCAAAACACTAAATAGGGGAAATGGATGTAATGTCGGCCTGAAGGCCCCTAATTTGGGCCCATACATAAATTCAGCAATCGACTAAATTTTCAATAGCGACCAAAATTTCCATTAGTACCGTCCAAATGGCGCGTTCATCTAGATAAAATTGATAAATAGCAGATTTTTAGCGATGGGCCCAATCTTTGATCCATAGGCCAACATTAGAGCCTACCATACAAATAGACTAAAACGACCAAAAGATCCATGGAAACAGCAAAATGGACTTTAAATCGTCAAATCAGCATAAAATCGACAAAACAAAAGGTAAACAAAAACGTCAAAACAAACTTTAAAATTGCAAAAAAGAAACGTTAAAAAAGCTAAAACCGCCTAAAGCTCCGAAAATAACCTTGAAAAAACCCAAATTAAAAACAAACATGTGAAATGGTCAGTACGCCAAAGGTAAGCAAACTAACTACACTATTTGATGAAGCAAAATTCCTCTACCTTATACTACTATTGATCTGCCTGAATGCGGCTAAATCCGCGAAAAGTCGAAGCCACTGTTTATATTTGCCACGTAGGCCATTTTGACATGTTCGTCTCCAATTGACCTTAGAAATTACAATAAAGAATAAACCCGCCAAATGGCTTTAAAACCACCAAAACGGCCTAAAAATGCTTAAGGTGAAAGTTGATAGAATCCATAAATGGGCGCTATTTTGTTTTTTTTTCCTGATGGCACGTATCTCAGAAACTATACAAATTTCGTGCAGGTATTAATTTTAATTCATGAATGCTACAGTGCAGCGAAATAGTGATTATACTTTGAAAAATCCAAAATTTAGCCCCCAAAACAACCAAATTTGTTAGGGCTATATGTAAGACATATTTCAATCCACTTCAAAATCTCTTCATGAAGGATTCCGTTAAGCGGTTTGATGGCTTATCGCTTAACTTTAGGATAATTTTGACCAATTTAGGCCAATTTTTATGTTTTTAGACATTTTTTGCCGAATAATTTGGCATTTGAAGGTAATTTAGGGGCTTGAATGTTATAATTCCGTTTATAGGTCATTTAGGCGTTTTTGAGAAAGTTCACTGCACCGAAAAAAATAATTACGTTTTGATTTTTCTAAAAGTATTGGAAAAAGCTATCAAAATTCTAAAAACATCACAAATTTTCTTGCTTTCTAAAGAAAATTCACGGGAAAAAACATTTTTTTGTAAGTCATCATGGCATAAAGTTGGACTCAAAAATCACAAAACATCGAAGGTTCGGTTTTGCTGAGGGTCCAATTATTTTTTTTTTTTTATGATGAGATAGAAATAAATGTGTTTACAGAAAAATCATAACTTATTTATTTTTTCAGAGCGGTGAACTTCCGTGCCATTTTACAATTATGCAGTACTATTTTCTTGCTTCCTGTTTGCAATTTTGACGGTTTTAAGTTACATCGAGGCCGTAATGCAAATTTTGCGAGTTTCATTATTACGCAATCGTGCGTTTTGAAGGCTCCTTTGCCGATTCAAGACAACTTTAGCGCCAAAGTTTTACCGTTTTACTGTTGAGATTTCGGTAGCAAAATTACCGAACACAAAAATAAATTCTAAGTGTGTATGTGATTTGTGCACAGGAAACGATTTTCTGAACTAACAAAATATGGTTTCTGCACATTATTTGACAAGAGTAAAAATGGCCTAGTTCCAGCATAAAGTTAGTTCATTGCCCCTAGCGAACAATTAATCTTATTGTCGAACAGTTTTAGGACAACCTTCTACCAACGGTGATAAGAAAATGAAGCCATAAATTCCAGATTGGGGTAGGTTAGCATAAATAAGACCGTGTTTTCCCGAGGTTCTAGAAGACAATGTTTCAACATATTGTTCCTCGGAAAAGATCGAGTGGTAGGAAATCTCGGTGAACATTTCAAAAGGTCTTATCTGCTTTGATCGATTCTCTTCATCGACTTTCTCTTTTGATAACCACGCCTACGAAAACATATTTCGTGCTCTTTTGCCACACAGTTTGATAGCAGAAGTTCCGGAGAACTTTGAGATTTAGGCGTAATTGCTTTTGTAAACGAACAAGTCAATCGCCGATTGCTCGCGAATAAAAGCTCAATATCACAAACAAACTATACCAAATGATAGAAGAGTCATTCTTCTACCTGTTTGTGTTGCTAGTTTTCGAGATAGAGCTTTAATTAGCGAGAAATAGGTGATTGACGTGTTTGTTTACAAAAGTAATTACGCCCTAATCTCGAAGTTCTCCGGATTGTCTTGCGCTTAGAAGTTTGAACACAGCAAGGAATGCTTTTGAAATTGAGTTATTAACGAAAGAGATAGTCGATGAATGCAGATAGGACCTTTTGAAATGTTTATCTAGAAATGTCACTTTAAACTGCTGCTCGAATGATGTGATCCATTATGCGAAGTTTCATGGAATCCGGAGAAGGTAAAGTATAATCGATTCGTACGTTGGCCGAGACTTGGTCGATTGTCCACGGAAAAGGGAGGTGAAATATATGAACAGCCCCTGAGCGCAGTTTAATTCAAAATTGCACCCTCCTGATGGAATTGTGGGAAAATGGAACGCCCTTCGTCACGTTTTCCCAATAATGCAATGCTTGTCACATAATCATACACCCTCCCTCTCCATCCTATCTATCACCTCACGGTAGTTTGCATGGGCAAGCTATCAGTTTCGACAAATTGCCGTTTGAAGCCATTGTTTACAAAAATAATTATCTCAATTTGGCAATTTGTTATACATTTTGTTATACGTCTTCAAGGTCAGTTAATAACGTGGGTATAGAACCGTTTCTTGTCATGTTTGTCATATTAGAAGATAGATAATAGCTTCTTTTATCGATCTGGGTGCTGAAAATAGCTAGGAATGTCTTAACATGACCGTGAGGGTGCAAAGAGAAAGTCGACGAAGAGAATCTATCAATGTTACTTCGGACCTAATGCAATGTTCAGCTTGATGTAACCCAAATCTTAAAGTGCAATTTACTATGAATAATTATCCAAAAATCGAAACTAGTTTTATTTTTACGTAGGCGAAATGGCTTTAATGTTGGTTTATGTATCTAAAGATGGGTCCTATCGATCTCACGTTCTTCAATTTTTTATGGAATAATGTCTCATCTGGACAATCCTAATGGATGTTTTTGGACGCAATTGAAAAAATGCTTTCCTTCGAAATGTATGTACAGGCTCAATAGGGACACTTAGGCCGACATTAAAGACATTAAGCCTATCATTTTAGATTGCAAAACGCAATTCTCGATCAACATTTCAAATGGTCCTATCCAGTGGTGTACGCGGTCACAGTAGTCATCGTATTTTCTGTGATAATCCGTTGCCTTTCCATCTGACTCTCGCAACATAAGCTATCGAAATACAGTACCAAACTAAAATGTCATATGACATGGCTCTCATACGACCGTGCCACCGAAGAATGCTCCGCTTTCGTGTTGGTTTTTTTCTCATTATGAGAGCTGCTCATTCCGTGCTTATGACAATTATCAATATAATATGCAACGATAAGCGAGAGGAAGCATTGCTAATCAAAAATAGTTGAAATACACACAAAATAGAAGAATTATAACGGAATGACGCTGTCGATATGATAGTTATTTGATAGTTTTCTTTTCACATGAATTTTGTTTTACCGCTCGTGCTATGCGAGAGTGGTGATGGTAGAGCATGAGTACAAAAATAAAGACTATAGCCCACGACCACGAAACGAATCTAGTAAAAAGCAATCACCGTTTACCAACAGATTTCACATTATTTTTGTAACATAGGGGAAATGGCTATAATGTTGGCCTAAGGATCTAAGATTGGGCCCATCGCTAAAAATCTGCTATTTCAAGACCAACAATTGAAAAGGCCTCAACTCCATTTTGCAAACAATTTCCAGGCCAGGCCATTTTCTCGCGAGCCGAAGTCCACCAAGGCAAAACAACAAAACGAACAAGTAGAGGAAATTCTCCTCTACCCGATTGTGGTTAAGGTTTGCGAATGTAGGTTTCGGTTCACGAGAAAATGGCCTTGCAAGGTTTGTTTGCAAAATGGAGTTGAGGCCATTTCAATGGTTGGTCTTGATTTATCAATTTTATCTATATGAACGCATCATTGGGACGGTACTAATGTCGCTATTGCAAATTTAGTCGATTGCTAAATTTATATATGGGCCCAAATTAGGGGCATTTAGGCCGACATTGCATCCATTTCCCCTACTGTGTTACCTGACTTATAACGTTGTATACGAGTACCCCGAACACAACGTATGACTCGTCTAAATTTACATAGCATTTGCAATGAAAAATTAAACGAACTATACGTTGTATTCGGGGTACTCGTGTACAACGTATATTCTTTATAAGTCAGGTAACACAGAAATAATCTCCTCTGATTCTCAGCTAGCATCGCGAACATCAAGCTCAACCGAGTTTTTTTTGTAGCTGAGCTACTAACGAAAAAGAAAGTCGATGGAGAGAATCGATCGGACCTTTTTAATTGTTCGTCTAGAATTATCATCTAAAATGACAGGATAAATGCACTTGGTAGAATGGCTTGTTGGTTTTCGAGTTTCGAAGAGAAAAAGTGCTTTATTGAGATCAGCGCTGCTTTTTGGATGAGGTAGATTTTTTCGACTGATACTGGGTCTCCAATATTTCCCATTTTGAGTAGTTTGTCTTATTTGACTATGTAATGTAACTTACCATCAAATGCTGTGAAGAGCTCCAAGAATGGGTTGAGTAATTTTCTTTGAATTTCGTTCCAATTGCTTAGCGTATTTCGTAGACTGGTAGACTTGTTCAGTGCCAAGAACTCCCTCTTTACATATTAAATGCTAACTTGTAATCCATAAGGGACTGTTCATAAGCAAAGTAGACAGTTTTTGAGAGGTTTTGGACCTCCGCTCCTCTGCGATGATAATCGTCCATGAAATTGCCCGCATGATTTGATTTTCAAACGCGCACAACTCCCCCTTCTTCCAGAGACGATGCTTGATAAGAGACGCGCTGAGACAATAAAAGTAAATTTGGTTTCACGGCCAACTAAGTTATTTTGTCTGCAAGATTTGGCAAACTGCAATTTTGTGTTTACTGCGAGTGACTTTTAATTTGAGTGACTGTCGTCTGCTTCATCGTCACGGTAAAACGAATTCTTTCTTGACCGTATCGGTAATTATTTATAAAATTTCATTGAAATGCACAGCATCCTTTTGTAAAACTACAACGAATAAAACGTGACAAATGTAAGTTTTTTCTGGACAACGTCGTCAGAGAAAAGTGGTTTCAATTCGGTCGGTTTCCTCCTGGTCAAAGCGTGGCGGAAAACTCTCGATGATCTAGCATAATTAATCTACCATATTGATAATTGAATTGTCGTTTAAATGAAAGTCGATTTTAAACTGATGTATTTGAAATAAATATACTTTTTACATTTCAATTACGATTTACATTTAAACGTTTCATCGGATAGCGGAAAACTATTAGCAGTGCTAGGTGCTGTTCCTATTTTTGAAATTATAGCGGACGAGGGAATAGATAATTAAATTTATGATGACATAAAATATTATAAAAGGCCTGTCTGGTTGACGATTTACACTTTACATACGCAAACAAAATTATTCAATTCTAAAACATTATATTTCAATCTCAATACTTCCCACGCTTTTCCTAATGATGCGCTTGTGTTTATTTACATTGATCGATTGGAACCGCATTTTGCGGCTCGATTGGAACTTGATTTCAGTCTTCGTGCGTCTTTTATTTAACATCGTCTCTGCCTTCTTCCACCTAATGTGTCTCCAAGGCCTACTTTGATACAGCGTGCTAGAATAAATTTAGTGTTCAGGAATCATAAGGGCCTAACTGCGGTGATCGATTTTCTTCATAGAATTTCTCGTTTGTTAATAACTCGGCTGGAATAACATTTTTCGGTGCGTGCATCATTGTTGCTTTTGCTAGCTAATGCAATATTTCACTACACTGCATTGTAATAATTTCGAAAAATTAGTTCACTGTACTGTGGCAATGCGAAGAGAAAAAATCGACTAGGAATACAATAGTAGAAGAACTTTTAAATGTTTACTTGAGAAAGAGATTGATGAACATTGATATGCATTCAGAATCATTCTAGTGAAGACGGAATAATCTGAATTTATCAGCATACGAAAATTAACTTTAAGATGCGAGATAGCATTATTAAATAGCATCGGTCTTACAGCACTACCGCCATCTGTGTTGAATCTGTTAAAATTGTACTTCCAGCAAACATATCGCATCGGGTTTCAGTCGAACGGGCAAGATTAGAATAAAGGAAACCTTAAAACTACATTTTTACACGGTGAATGAGAACACCCAAATTTGAATTTAGTTAACTCATAAATCACATAAAGTGCAGGAACTCAGCGATGAGTAAATTTGCCTCGTTTTACCAGGTTTGGCCAGGAAAAACTTCCCGAATATGAGAGATGTAAAGATTGGATTGACTCAGTCTATTGGTACTACTCCTAGACTGAGTAAAACTTTCGTCAATTGCCTCATTTTCCAGCAGATTTTATAGTTTTTCCACAGGAACCCATGAGGCAAATTTACTCATCGCTGAGTTCCTGCACTTTTGGCGATTATTAGTGAACTAAACCTCCTGTCCATAATAGGGCAAGCTTTGGCTGTCATTCGATGATATCTTTTTCACTACCATTGAGAAGGAAGAATAAAAGCAAACGGAAAAGTAAGGTTAGCTCAGTGTTGAAAACATGCACTGACGAAAATAAATTTCCGCCACTTTTTTATGTTGGTCTAAATTTTCCTTTAACAGCCCAAGTAATAATTTTGGTTTTATGAGGGATCTTTAAACCATGTTTTAGACTTAAATAATGCTTTAAATCCTTGGTAAAACTTGCAAATGTTACTTGAGAGTGTATTCTGTAGTAAGACTTATTCTAGTCCAGTCAATAATATCAATCTTTTCTCTTCCCCTATCCAGATGCCGAAGCCCGTGCGGCGGCTGCTGCCGCAGCGGAGGCCGCTGCCAACGTCGACGAGCAAAAGACGACGACCGAAGAAGCCGCCCCGGAGGCGGAACAGGAGTCGCAGGAAGCCACCAAGGAATAGTTTGTTTCTACAACAGCATCCTATAACGATACGACTACTGCTGCAACTAACTGCTAATGCTGCTGCTACAGCTACTACTACAGCTACTAGTGTTAGTACTAAAAACACATACCTACATACCAGAGACACTTTTTTCTAGCGAAACATGAACAAAAACAAACCAGATAGATCAGTAAACCCAACCACCAAAACAAATAAGTACAGTAGTAGACTTTCGATGGTATTTTTGTGCGCGTATGAAAATCAAGACAACAGTCAGTGACGACCGCTGTCTCCGGCACTGTTTCTCAAAAAAAAAACTCTTTCACAAGGAAACTAGTAGTCTAAAATCAGAATAAGCTAAAGGAAGCAAAACTTACAAAAAAATACTAAAAAGTAAACACACACACACTCATATTTCGATAAATGTTATTAGGAGAGAACAATCTAAACAAAGAGTCTAATAGCGTAATTAAAAAAAAAGAGCAAAGAAGAAAGAAATGACAGAAGTATTTACAATCTCTATCCATACAGCTAACACTCAATAAAACACAAACACACACACATACACGCATATTCATAAAGTATATAACAAAACAATGAAAATTTAGAAATGATCCTGCTGAACGTGACAAGATTTAGGCAGCCAATATTGCACCCGGCTTTCTTTTTTTTTTTTGAAACGTGAAACAAGAATTGCGAAATTCGCCGGAATTCGAAAATCTCTCCTATCCTATATACATACAATCAAATGATCGCAAATGAACACAAAAATCCCACTATTTTCCATCGACTATCCGTGCAAACGAAAAACAAACAAAAACTCCCGCTTATAAATAGTGTGAATGATAAAAGCTAAGAGGATAAGTTGAATAAAACAAAAATCAGCAAGCAAATGGAATTCAGATTGATGGCTTACAAAACTGCGTTTTCTTCTTATTCTTCTTCTTCTAACAATCATTTGGCCATTTTTAATTTCACCACAGCTGATGCAGCGTTGCGAAAAATGAGTGAGTTTTCCTTTAACTGTAGGTAAACGCAGATGTAAACCGGCTTTACCTTTCAGTTTTCTCCACTTCAGCTCCGGGGGTTGCCGGGTTCAGAAATAAATCCAACTTTATTTCCAATTAGAGACTCCTTGTGTCGGTTGGTGCTGTTGTTGTTGTTGTTTTTCAGTGGAGAGGGTTATTCTGGGTGGTAAGAGGATTACGTGTAGGGACGTCTGGGACGGTCAGCAGTCAATGATGGTCAATAGGAGAATATTCAAAATGGTCTCTAATTGAGTCGATTTAAAAAAAAAAATCCATATAGGATCGACTGGTATTAGGAGCAAAAGGTCACCACCGGTTAGGATAAGAAGATATATTTCAAATTCGAGAAAATCTCAGGAATAATGGACCACTTTGTCAAGCAGTTTTGGCGCGATGCCAGAAAACTGGACCAACAAATTACTATGTTTCTTGTGGTTCTAATAGCAAAAATCTCATAGTATTATTATTTTACGACGTCATTTTGAACTGCTCGAATTATGCGGTTGATTCATGTAATTTTTTTCGGGATGAAATCTGATTGAAACATGAACACTTAACGCATTCAATTAAATCTGTTCTTTTTTAAACCATACATGCAAAATGATAGAAGCTTGCATTATTGGATTACCATGTTTCGTTTTCACTTCGATCTGCTAGAATAAAGCAGTAAATATGTGAAAACGATGGAACCTGTAAACCGCGAGTATTCAGTCTTCTTCAACTAACTTTAGTGTTAGGAAACATTGTAAAACGAATAATGCATTACGGCTCCACAAAGTCACCACTACTGAGCCTTGATAAATAGATTAAATTAAATAAAACGTCAGACTGATAATTTATGACTGAAATTTGGGTCAAACATTTCGGCATGTGAAACCTAAGTAGTTGGTCCTAATCAAATTTCAATTAAAATTATGTTTTCGTGACCGAATTGGAAGAAAAACAATGGTTAAACAAAAAAGAAAGCTCAAGATAAGCTAGATTAGTTTAGAACTAAATATTGCTTCCATCAATTTATCAAATTATAGAAAGGACTAAACCCATAACTCGAGCAGTTGAGGGTTGACAGCTAAAAGTTCGACACTGCATTTGGTAGATCATATCTGTACTTGCCACAATTGTGTTTTTTGAGGATATTGAGGTAAATGCATATTGGTAATCTGCATTAAAAATGAAACCGAAATCCAAAATTTCACCAAATTTGGTGCACTGGAACTATTTCAATAAAATCAAGATCTTAGCGCCCCTCAGTGGGACTTTGTATGGGAGCGAGCTAACAATTGAGTTGTTTAGCGGTATTGATCTATCTGCATTTAAAATGGAAGCGAAATCCAAAATTTAATTATTTTTGGTACGCTGCAACTATTCTAAATAAGTTCCATTGTTTGATTATTAATTCATTTGATAAGGCTCAATCGAATTAACTTTACACAGCCGAGGATTTACTTAAACACTTTATCTTCCGCTATCCAAAAAGCCTCCTTCATCAGAACGGGATCCGGTGGTTTAATTGTATGGCAGCTTCGCCAACGGGGGGCCGAGCGTTTCAATTGTAGCAATGGACACAAAACGTTGTCATCACTCACACACTCATCACGAAACGGTTGCTCTCGAAAGTCGACGACGCATCGACCGAAAAAACTGCTGATGAAGAACAATGAGGAGGGCAACACCAGCGTTGCCAACCTTCCATATTAATGGACCATCCAAACAATCTCTTGTCTAGACCAGACGTTTTATCATTTTCCAGAGTTCTCAATTCGCCTTGGTTTACAATGTTAAATAAAGTGGGCATCAAACGGTTTTACTGCTCACGGAAAACTTTCAAATATTATTCCTTGGGAAATTATTCAGATTTAAGATAGCTGATTTTAACTTTTGGAATCAATTTCTGGATGAACCAAGCAATGTGGTTAACTTCTGGGGTTAAAGTTTGAGCCACAACAAAATGTGTTGGTGCCAGCTCAATGACTTTGGCATACTTTGAAATAATATATTAACATTTGATGGTCGAGGAGATATGCAACAAGCCATTATCCTTGGTGTTAAGGTTTTGACATATATTTAAAAAACGTCATTATAAAGAACATCCAGACCAGTGATGGCATGATCATTAGCAAATTGATATTTTTCCGCTCTCATACGCTCTCAAATACCACGCGTGATAATGGAGCAAAATATCATGCTTGATCTTGATTTTACAAGCTCCTTTGATATTATGAGACTATTCACAACGTGTAAAGTTAAAGCTGAGAGTTGAATCGACGCAAATATGATTGTGTTGCACCTCGTTTTCTTAGAAAGAGGAGGTATGATAATGCTATCTCTTTTTACTCTTCACCGATGGCAGACACGAAACGATTGCTGCCAGCCTAATGGAAGTTTGGGTTGCGTTCGGGTGTAACGAGAAAATCACGAAACTCAATCTCACCACAGTTTGGTGAGATCTGCAGTTGGTGAGTTTTGTTAGCTTGATATTCCGAGCTGCAATATCAAAGCTAACGATATCAACCGCAGTTGTTTGCTTGTTGATTTTTAGCTACGAAAATCAAGCGTGATATTGTGCTTTGGTGAAATTTGATTATTTGATATTTTTCCAACACTGATACGGACAAATCCAGACTTTTCACTCTACAACAGCCTGATTTTTCGAAAAATCACTTGGCAACCTGGACCACACAATGGTTGCTGCCGAGTAAACAGACGATCGCGAGACTCTTATCGAGAGTTTCCTGCTTCTTTCGAAACCCAAGTGAAAATTGAAATAAGTGCGATTACATTAGCGAAAATTCATAAAAATATCGTTGTGCTCAGAAAACGAAGATCTTTCAAATGATGTATCAAAACCGATATACTTTTCTAAATTAAAAAAAAACTCAATTGGTACAGGCTTTGATAGCTCTCAATCAACAACTGTGGAAGTGCTCAAAGAACACTAAGAGAGCCGGCGTAAAGTCCCAATGGGGACGTAATAAAGCCAAAAGAAGTGCATCAATCTAATATTGGTGTAAATATTCTTGGGAACTCCATACGACCACAAATGATCTTGTTTTTGAATTCTTATGTGATTTGATGAATCACACGTAGCCTTTCTTTTGAGTTAAGTAAGATTCTACCCGAGCAATGTCTGGGCTTAAATTGAAAACATAATTTGATGTTGTGATGTCCATGATAATAACCACTCAGATTGCTGTCGTTTTCGTCGTTTTAACGGTTAAAATATCGCATTGAAAACTAATTCTGCTCTCAGTGAGAGATCAAACTGAAAACTCAATTTGTTATCAAATTTTTCAATTGCGTAAACCGATTTCAGAATGAAACTTTTTGGTGGATTTATTTGTTAAAGCTCAATTGAATAAACTTTACAGAGCCGATGATTCTTGTGTACTATACTAAACATCTTAACACTATAGTCAAAAGGTGCAACACAATAAACACTTTATCTTCCCCTATCCAATAAGCCTCCTCCATCAGAACGGGAGCCACTTCCAGTGGTTTCATTGTATGGCAGTATCACCAACGGGGGGCAGCACGCTTCCATCGCAGCAATGGTTGCTGCCAAGTAAACAGACGCTTGTGTTACACACATCGAGAGTGGCCTGCTTCTGTCGACAGCCGAGTGAACACTGAATGATTTCAGTTTGATGTTTGAAATTTGATTTCAATTTGCTGTCATTTTGATGCTGGATTTTGCTCGGGTAGTCACTTTTCTAGGGGCACCGGAATAGGATCGTGTGTGACCAATATGGTTCAGGCCACTCAATATTATCGTCAATAATCTTGTTTTCGAATTCTCAATTGAGTTGAAGTGACGCAGGGGATTGGTACGTTTTGGGTCATCCCTGATTCCAAGATATGTTTCAGTCATATTTCCGAAACCAGTTAACCAAATCTAAAGATGGTGATCAACAAATCCCAATTAGTAATTTTCCGGGATTCCCGGTTGTGCGATACACATTTAAATTAAGCATAACACCAAAAGCGATTGAGCCCAAGAGATAACTACGTAAATGGATCACTACATTTTTTCTGGAATTTATAACTTGTTTCTACGATCGAAGTCTTTGAAAATTATCTCAAGATTTTACATGATTTCTATAAATTTGAGATTCTCTCTAGGAGACCCTTGAAATTTTGTTTATAACAATGCAGAACTTCTCTACAGAACACTCTAAAAAATCTATGAAATTCGAACTTATTTTCTACGAATTTTAAACATTTTCTAAGAATTCACTAAAGTTTCAATTAAATGCTTTTTTTTAATTTGCTTGATTCCTCCTTAGAATTACCATGCTATTCACATCTTAATTGTCATAAAAGTTTGCTCAGAATGGAGCACTTCTCTAAATTCTACGGAAAATTCACTTGGAATTGCCCTTAAAACTTTCTAAAAAATATTTTCGTGATGCCTTTTAAATTATCCTTGGAATAAACTTAAAATTCTTCTAAGGGTAATTCAAAATTCGATTCCGTTGATGTTTTTCACAGATCCTGGAATCTTCTTCAAAATCACCATGGAGTTTTCCACAGAGCTACTTAAAAAATACTCACACAATCGACGTGGAGTTTTGGTCAAAATTCGCTCATAGGACATATCAAGCTGAACAATGCATTAGGTTCTAAGTAACATTGACAGACTCTCTTCATCGACTTTTTCTTTGTATCCTCACGGCCATGTTAAGACATTCCCAGCTATTTTCAGCAAACAGATCGATGATAGAAGCTATTATCTAGCTTCTAATACGACAAACACGACAAGAAACGATTGTGTGCTCAACAGTGCGCCAAACAGTCAAGTTCAATGAGTCATTTTCATATGAATATGAACTGCCATCTGCCTCATCATTCACTACCTCGTGGGAGTCTGAATGATTGAGAGTTAAACAAGTCAATGACAGCCAAGCACTCAGTCAGTAGCTCAATCAGCACGTTTATTCTTCCGTGATGGTATCCAATACTTGTTTTGAATGACTGAGCGTACATTTTCTATGGAAAAGTGCCTCAATTTACATGCTGTGTGAGCGAAAGCAAGCGGTGTGAGTCACCTGTTCGTGAATGACTGAATGTTTTTGTTGGCTCTTTCATTGCCTCGTCCTTTACCGGTACAAACGGTCTGCACAGAGCAATGGATTGAATAGTAGGTACAGTGCTTCCACACTCAGCATAAGCAGTCAATAATTGTATGCTTTGGTACTCAAGTTATTGACGAAAGAGAAAGTCGATGTAGGGAATCGATCAATGTTATTTAGGACCTCTTGCATTGTTCAGTTTTATATTCTCTAAAATACCTTGGTGTTATATTTAGAATTCATTCTAAAATCGGCTCAAAAATGCTTTGGGAAAAAAAATCTAAAATTCTCTTAGTAGTTCTTCAAAGTGACTGTATCCTGAAAATCTAGTCCAGTCCAGGGTCTTGAATTTAAAAAAAAAAATCGAGGTAAGTTGGCAGAAACATCCGGAGGAAGCTGACAGAATATGTCGAGAGTTCAACATCTAGGATAAGTAAAATTGCTTTTGGATCAAGTTGGACAAAACTTCCAGCGAAATTTACGGAGGAAGTCGGAAGACACTTTCGGGACAAGTCCGTAGGACTTCTGGCGGAAGTCTGAAGGTGCTTCCACGATAAATCGCAAGAATCGCCCAGTAGCAGTCAAAAGAAACTTCTGGAGGAAGTCTGGAATAAACTCCCAGATGATGTCGGAAAAAACTTCCGGAGAAATCCAAACTGGAACTTCCTTCCGCGTAAAGATGGAATGAATTTCCGGGAAAAATTGGAAGAGTCTTCTTGAAAAAGTCAAAGAGAAAATTTCCGGGAGTAGTCACAAGGAACTTTCAGGGGAAATAAAAAAAAAAAACTTCCGGGCAAGTCTGAAGAATCCTAAAATATAAATTCAAATATTGGATGAACCTTCGAGTTAGGGAGGATTTCGAGTTACGGAGGTAAATTTTGGAAATTTTAATGGGAAAAGTGGTCGAAGTATCCTGGATTTCCAGTTAACGGGAATATCAAGCTAGGGAGGGATCAAGTAGAAAAGAGCTGACTGTATGAAAAGCACAGAAGTAGACTCCCATGCTAAAAGACAATTTTATATGTTCCTTAAGGCCATTTATGAAGAGGTAGTACCCTACCTTCGCTGTGCCAGTGGTTAGTTAATTTCATTTGACAAATATTGTGTCACATTATACAATGAACCATTTAGTCAAAGCTACTTCTGTGCCATTGGTAGTAAATATAGAAATTTGGAAAAGTGAAAATAATACGCTTTTGATACATAATCAGGTCAAAAATCGTTGACGACAACCTTTAGATATCATTCTTGAACCTTGTCGTTCAGTGTTCCCTGAAAATTATTGTTAAACAAGCAACAATTAAATAGACAAAGCTTTTCTCAAACGTGTTTTACCCGCTTCACTACCAGTTCCCAGAGAGCCAAAACATTCAAATTTGAGAGGGGGAGAATTCTCTCTCACGAGCTCATTCTCTCAACAAGCCATGCATTTCGATGACTCTCGATATGTAATTTCCCTCTCACAGACTTCATACCTAGTACCTGGCACTGCAAAAGTGGTTGGTACCCGTAGTTATGCACTTAGATTAACATTTGTTGATATTTTCTAAGACCTACCGATTCATAAAAAGAAACAGCGGGAAATCCTACTAGGGGCGAATATACAAAAAGAAACGATTTCGGATGTTAATCTAAATGCATATATAGAGGTACCTAACATGCTTATGCCTCTTAAACAGATTCGTTCGAAAGATGAAGTATTAGGATCAGCACTCAACATTTTATCCTACAATAAAATTGAAAAGTAATAAAATAAGTGTATCTTAGAAGCTGGCCAAATTTATTCATATCAATGAAAAAGTACGATTAATTCATGGCAATAAGCACTAATGATTGTAAACATCCTCCACAAAGAAAACTTTAACATCAAAATAAACGCGTTTGAGGGAAAGCAGCAAAAGCATATTCGACCGTTTGACTTGATATTGATCAGTTTTTTATTCAGGGTGTCGACTCAATGAAGAAAACAAAATCCCCTGATGTTCCCTGATTTTCCAGTAATTTTCAAACAAATTCCAGTTGATGGTTTTGTCAACACGATCTCATCAGCTATTACTTTCCTCAGATATGTATTACCCAACAAACAGTTCTAGCTGCAGACCAGCCTATACAGGCACAAATTAGATGCATAACGTAATTTTTCAGTTGTATCAGCTAGTCTGCAGCTAAAATTGTTAGATGGGTAGTGCTTTCTGGACATTTTTTCATGAAATACCACATGGACCTCTAACCCATGAAGAGTGGTCCAGTACAATCTGAAATTGAATAAAGCGTTCGATACATTTTATAGAATGCAAAAAATGAAGAAATCGCGAGTTGATAAAAACGGGAAGGCGCCACATTTTTCTAAATTCACAAATTGTGATCGCGAAACTGAACCATCTCGATATCAATCTACAAACAATTGCTTAATCGCTTAACATTTTCAACAAGATTGCTCGATTTAATCCTTGATATGAGAAGAAATCATTGGCATGGCGATTTTCTCACCCTTAGAAGCTGTTGAAAATATTCACTAAAACTCGCTATGACTCGCGAACTTTTACCTAGTTGAACTTCGTGAAATATCGCGAACTTTTTCAACCCGACTTAGAAGTTCTTTTCTGACTGTTTCTGAACTCAACGCTAGGGGCAGAAATTCAACCAGTTCACCTACATTTTACATATGAAACACTTGTATTTAATCCCTTCAGCTCCACAAGAAAATTATATCGGTTAATACGCTTAACCAAACGCTAATTTGCGGCCATATTCCTATATGGTGGGAAATCGTAAAAAACAGCGCTTTCACCTTTCACTGAGAAGCTAATTTTCCGAGCTAATCAGATTTACCTAGAAGACTTAGAATACTCAATAAAGTCACGCTATGCTGTCAAGGCAATGCTTGTCTCCGTTTCTTTGAATCATATTTCAATCATAAAAGTGCTACTCCAAGCATCAAAGACAAAAATCCACCCAAGCAAGAAAATTATCCTAAATTTTCAATTGATTTATTCTCTGATCTAATCAGGCAGATAAGAACACAATAAGGAACAGGAACTATAAGTGTTCAAACAAAAAAATAATTCTCTTCTCTTAACTCTTTACCATACTTGAATTTACTCAAAAGCGCTCCAATACGCCCAAAGGATCTAAGTCAGACGCAATTAGTTGTAACATCTACTAAGAGACCAAGACATACAAATTTGGAGGTTACATTTGGCAACAACTAACAATGTCTAGAGACTACGGAAATGGATTTTTATCAACCCTCAGGGTTGATCAGTTCAACTCAGGAATGTGTCAACACTCAGCTGAATTTATATTAGGCGCAGATCATCAAAATACCCTTTTATTTGAGTAATTCTTGCTCAACTTGCAAAAATGCAACATCAAGCATTGAGCAACCACAAATTCGCAGCTCTATTTAAAATTTGAAATGACCAACCATCTTCAAACTACACCGAGTAATCAAGTAGTTTGAAACTAGCAAAGTTTGTCATACTTTTGTGTTTAAGAAATGTTTCCCTGAGATTCCCTGATTTTCTAGGGCAAAAATGAATTCCCTGATATTCCCTGATTTTCCAGGTTTTTCCAAGTAGTCAACACCCTGTTATTCGATAACTATTTCAAAACTTATTCCGAACACTACAATATATTTGATCAGTCAAGCATATGTAAACAACAAGTCACAAACGATTTTTCATATTTGTTCTGGCAAAAAAGGCACCAATTTGAGAGAGCGGTGTTGAGAGGATGTAAACAAAGGCAAGAAAATTAATATTTTACAAGTAAAATAACTTGTAAATTGAAAGTCATCGACTCCGCACCACTCAGGTTTTGCAGTACCAGATACTCTGTTTTGAAGTCTGTGAAAGGGATTTGACTGCACTGTCCTCTGTGAACAACTAACGGAATACAGATTATTCCCCTCTAGATTGCATTCCTGGCCCACAGTGCAATGGCT